TGTGTTTTTCTTATACACTATTACTAGGCTAACAAACTGATGAGGTGAAATGTAAAACAATAAAATATGAACATTTAAAGTGCATTATTATTTACATGGACTATGATGAAATAATTCCACCCTTCATATTGCCTTAGAAGATTTATAAAACATTTCATTCTTGTATTGATTCTATTACAATGTGTAGTACATTAGTTTCATTATGAAAAATTGAAGAACATTAACATGGATGTTTATGTTTAGAGAGTTGTTTTATAAGTATTTTCAAGGATGATTGTTACATAAAAATTAATCATACATGGTGCCCCATAAAATAGTATGATGTTAAAGTAAATAATGCAGAAATGTAATCTTTAGTAAATCCTAAGTAATCTTTCCAGAAAATGAAGTTTGAATGTAGCTGATTAAAAATTTAGTTTATGTTTATCAATTTATTCAATTGTGATCACAAGCTGTTTTCAATCACCTAATGAATTAAATTTGAATTATATCCTTTGTCTTAATTGAAATAATTTCTATTCTGAGTTAAATATTAAAAATGGAACATATTTCATTAAACAAGGTACAACTCTAACTATAATTTTCTTACAATAAATTATTGTTTTGTTTAAAAAAAAAAATTCATTCCTTTGTTTCAGGAATGTCTTTCATAATTTTTAATAAAATATGAAAAAATTTATTTATTTCTAAACTTAGCAAAATACTTATCTTCATATTTATTTTTCGAATAGTTCTTGATATATAAGTATTTATTTATTTTTATTAATTTATAAAATTTAAATAGATGCGTGTGTATACAAAGAAAGAAATATCAAACGAATGGCTTAAATCCAATGTGTCTGTTCACACATTAGTATTACAGATACACCTGTTTCTTTAAAATCATACTTAAAATATAAACATAGATTCCTAATTATAAAAATTCTCAAAATTTGCAAGTACAATGAATGCAAGTAATGAGACAATCTTATGCAACTAGGAACCGAACTAGGATTTCTTCCAGGAGGGACAAACATAAATTTGCCGCTGTTTCTTTCATCCCTTCTCCCTAAACAAAATTAAAACAGTGTATTTTTAATAGTAGTAGATAATATATTTTAAAATAAATATGACGCTATTTATATCAGAATATAAACTTATGGACTAAGTTAGGATCAAAACAATAAAAAAAAACGAAAACAAATATTTTTCCTTTCACCTAAAGATACAATTTTATTTGAAATTTGCACCACTAAACTCTGCCGTTTGGAGTCAGTGCCTCCCATGCCTCTCTGTAGTCCCTTCTTATCAACCGAAGTTTTAAAATTGTATAAAATAAAAATAATTTGATCAATATTGGGGCCTATCACTTCTCTTTGAATAATAATTCTATCTCAAAGTAATATTTTAATAGGAAGTCTACATGGGAAGTATGTATGTTATCCAACGTCATGTTGGACTGCTGAAATTGAGGAATCATCACTATACTGAGAAACTCTGTAGGACAAGCAAAAATATATATTATACCTAAAAGACTAATCAATTTGTGAAGGAAAATGGAGTAGTGTAATATCTAAAGGGTTCCTTACACGATCAGTATTACTGAAGGGCCCTCTCACACCTGTCAACTGTATTGAGACAATATTTTGTCAGTAGCGATCTTATTTTCTCCAAAAAAGTATTTACTTTCCTTTACTTTTCTGAATATGAATAATAGTGAATATTATATTATTTTAATTTGCTTGATTATAGTATTAAAAAATCTTATGCGCGCAACACACAACTTTCACATACCGCTCTACTTTTAATAGAAATTATTTTCTGGCAACGCTGGGCTATTATAAAATTTTTGAAGTGCATTTTAAACGGAGCTAAAGCTTAAAGCTTACAAATAAAAAATCATTAAGACCATCAAAATTACAAAAAGTCTATTTATTATATCGATGGTAGGCAACAAAAATCTAGTCACTCCATCTGCTTTTATAAACCAAACAACTTCAGTCTCTGTGCCTTTCAGTTGACAGAATGACACTCCAATTTCGACATTTTTGAGTAATGTCGTGTTAGTGATATTTCTAGTTGAAAAAGTTATCTATACGGACAGTGAGTTGATTCCAGAGTAGGTGAATGCAGCGTTGAAAAATAGAACTGTGAATAAAGGTATAAATTTTGCTACTAGAGACATCCCTAAAATTAATAATAAAGAATATTGAAATTGGGTTTAGTCATTCTGCCAACCGAAAGGCTCGTATATGCCTAGAGAGGTTTGAAAGTACATCTGAATATTTTACCAATAAATGATTATGGATTGTAGGATTATTAGTTATTTTCTATGATAAAGTTTACTCAATCCAAATTACGAGATTTTCATTGCCTGCCATGGATAGGCCAAAAGTTGTCATACTAATTGTAAGTGGATAATGTTGGGATTTCACAAAGAGAAAGTTTATCAAATTATTCGCTAATTTAGTTTTCTAAAAAGTTACTTGATGATTTTTTGGAATAAATGGCCGATAGATACCTAATTATTTAAATATAATATCTTATCTAGAGTGTATACTCTATAGTAAATATATTTGAGGTTATAAACATATCCATGAAATATTTTTATATTTCATTTCTTCTTTCACACAAGTACAATGAAGTAGTATTTTAAATTGGCTTAATTTGGTGGATTTTAAATACTTTGTTTTCAAACATTTAAAAGTTTACTTATAGTAAGAAAATTTCATTTAATTTCCTTGGAAACATCTGATTTACGTTAAATAATATCAGTTTTCTGAAATTATTATTAATAATTTTTTTTGCCACTCTCCGTTACCATCTACAACTTTCTATATTAGATATTTTTTTTTTTTCTAAAATTCTCAGCTTTCCAACAATATATTATACCTATACCTTCTGACTAGTAATTCCAGAGATCCATTTTCGACCTGGATAAGAATTTTTATTTTTTTCTCCTTTATTTAATTATCAAATTCTTTCAAAAGTTATATTTAGCATTTTTTCGTTACTCTTAATAATGAGAGATAGTTAGATATTTAAAATAAACCATATTAAAGGTACTTTAGAGAAAAACATATATGAACATTGGGCATTTAAGCACTGTAAAGTGACATCAATGGGGACAAGATCTAAATGATGCTAAAGACCACTTAATTATACAAAATCGTTAGAGCCATTTTTGAGAAATTTGTAAAAATATGTTTCACCATTGATATAAAGCGGTACTTTCGGTATTAGCTGCTACCACATCTAAGGCATATACCTATTTTAAATACTTTTTTTTTTTTCCTCTTTATTTTTTAATTCACAACTGTCAATGTCCACTGACAACCAGTGAATGAGATAACTGTACAAATAGACTAGGAGAAAGGGCATGATAGGCATGAGGAAGAGAAAAACCCAGTGGTTTATCTTCAGTCATGTTTGAGGTTAATTAAGGAGATCTCTCATCCAACTCCTTTTCAGCCTTCTGCGGATGTTATCGGGCATGTTTTTATTGGCCATGTCTTGGATGAGTCTATTGGGGTGACCATAGAGCTTGTTGTGAAACCTTTTGTAGTAAGTTTGAATATGTTCTGTGACGGTTTGCATGTGTAAGTCTTTGTGGAGTTATGTTACTAACATACCAAGGTGCTATCAGTTGAGTAATTGTTCTGAAGGTTTTGGCCTGGAATATTTGTAATTTCTGAATGTGAGTTTTTTTGGCAATTCCGTATACTTGTGATGCGTATGTCCAAAGTGGTTTTAGTAAGTAAGTGTAAGTGTTAAGTTTTTGTCTTAGATCTAGTTTTGAGCGACGTCCCAGTAGGGAATATAATAGTCTAAATTGTTGATTTAGTGTCTTTCGCTTAGCAGTGATGTGTGGGCCCCATGTCATCCTTCTGTCAAATGTTAGGCCTAGGTAATGTACTTTGTCAGATTGGGGAATATGTTCATTGTCAAGATAGACAGGAGGGCAGTTTTCGCGTCGGAGTGAAAATGTTATGTGTTGGGATTTGTTGTGATTTAGTTTTATTTTCCAAAGTTTGTACCAGTCATGTAAGATTTGTAAGTGATTTTGTAAAGTATATGAAGCATGTGTGGGGTCATTGTGCCTTGTGATAATAGTAGTGTCATCAGCATAGGTGGCTATCAAAGTGTCATTGGAGAGGGGAATGTCATGTGTGTAAATTATGTAAAGCAGTGGTGTGAGAATTGATCCCTGAGGCACTCTGGCCAGAATTGGTCTAATAGTTGAGATTTCAGAGCCTTGTCGAACTGAGAAAAATCTATCAGAGAGGAATGATTGTAATATAAGATAGTAAGTGGAAGGAAGTATTTTCTTAAGTTTATAAAGAAGTCCCTGGTGCCAGACCCTGTCAAATGCAGACATCCAGAGCATCAGCAAAATCCAGAAATACACCAGTAGCATACATCTTTTGCTCTAGTGCTTGTTGCTATGTAATCTGTGACTCTGTGTAACTGTTGTATTTTAAATACGTAATATCAGTTTCATACAACTTTTGGTTTTTGAACTAGACTGTTCACATACACACAGACTCACAGACCATTTTTCCAGACTTGGTTATTTGGACTCAGGGGACCTCAAAACATGTATTTCCATTGAAAATCAGATTTAAAAATGTTCACGATCACAATACTTACCCTTACTATATATTGCATATATTGGTAGGTGAAGATAGGATTATATAATATAAAATATCATTTGTTTATTGCAAAAAATCACCAAGTAATGGATTTTTAAGAACATTTTATTGAATTTCGATCTTATTTATCGATAAAAAAAATACAGTAAATGTACTTATAAATATCAAACATTGTTACAAGCCCAAAATTTTGTGATTTCACTTAGGAAAAATTTATCAAGGTTCTTAGTGATTTAAGGTTATGAAATGATTTTTTTCAATAAACTGATGATATAATTCTGCTTTTTGGTTATCATTAACTACATTTGATTATAAGTTAATATATTAATAATGATTTCAATAAAAATACTGATTAATTATTTATAAATTGTTTATTACCAGAATTTATTACCAACTGTTAATACCAACATTGTTATGAGGATGTATAGGAATGGAATATTTCAATAATGTGTTTTATAATCACTATATAAAGTAACCTTAATATTTGTGTTATTTGCAATGTTTCTTTTGCTGCTTAAAATTAAAACATTTGTTCTTTCAAATTGTATATTTTCTTGTTTTCTAATTGTTTAATATTTAATACAAAATTAACTTTTGGAAAAAACATAATATGTCACAGAATATTGCCATTTAGCCTTTAAAAAAATGAAGATGTATGGGGACGGATTCTCCCCCCCTCCAACAAACACGGGCTCCTGCTCTGTACCTATTAGATAAATAAATATCAGCCAGCGCTTCTCGAGGTTCTAGATCCTCAAATATGATTTAATATTGTTCAATATAGCCCTTTTACTAGCAATTATATTGGCACTCTCAATAATATTGAAGAAACTTCAATAAAAGTAAACAACATTTATATCAACCAGTTTGATTGATCTCAATATAATTGATATCAACGTAGCCCTAACTCATTGCAGCTTTTTACATACGCTGAGTATTAGTCAAAATATACTTTGTCCCAGAACAAACAATTCTTTTTGTATTTAACCACTGAAAATTCAAATATTCCATAATTTAATAATAGTCAAATTGATTCAAGTAATTAAAAGAAAAAAAAAGCATATTATTTCTTTTTAATAGTTTCACATTTATAACAAAAATATAATACAACTCCAGATCTATAATACAATAAACAGAATAATAAATTTTGTTTGTTTAGAAAAGAAAAAAAAACTAGTAATTATATACATATATGTATGTATCTATAAATATATGTATGAACATTTGTGATATGTATTTTTTCTTGGACATTCTGTATAAAACGTAAATACTAAGCAATACTATCAATAAAAATACACATTTATATATAATATATTATATAAATACTTTATAAAATATGTTATATAAATTGTATTCTACATAAATATTTATAGAACACTCACTATAGAAATAATTAATACAAATTATAAGAAACAGCTCTTAAAAATTAACAATAGCATGCGATTATTTCCATGACTACTGTATACAAAATACAAATCCTACATACATTCATATATTCATCACAAAACTTGAGTTAAAAAAATTTAATATTAACTCAAGTTACTTCCATAACGTTTTAATTTATCAAGAGAGCACTTGAATGCAATGTAACTAAAATTAAATATAAATAGAATTTTAAATACAATTTCTCATAACATAGATCACAGTCTACAGTGCCAATATGAAATAACTGCACCAAAAAAAAAAGATTTAAAAAATGAAGCAACATTTAAAAAATAGATTAACAATTTCAACAAAACATCATATGATACTAGCAGCATCGGAGTAATTATTTACATTTTAAATGTTGAAAGGAATCTTTGGTCCCAATTTTCAGATCAAGGAGTAATAGAAAATACAGTAAACTCTCTTATATCCGGCAAGATACCAAATCCTTCATGAAAGTTTATCGGAAACTCATACCACAAACTACTATGGTTTTTAATTTTATATTTATTAATAATATCAATATTCAAACCCATTATCTTTACAAACGTCTTAATACTAATGAAATGGTGGTTTGAAAATAGTACATGATAAACTAGAGTTGAAAAAACAAATGAAAATCAACGATTTATAAAATTAATAAATTATTAGTTTCATTATTATTTCTTTTATGTTTATATTACCAATTTTGTATTTAATGAATGGATGAATATAAATAAAACAATAATCAATATTTCTTAATTACATACATTTTAATGTTATTAATATAAATGATGATTACTGGTTCTGGCATTTTTAACTAAATCATGTCAGTTTGAGAAAAGGCAGAGTCTGTTATAAATAAATTTGTGAAAAAAAAAGTTTCCTTAGTAGAATAAAGATGTTATTTAAAATTTACAGAAGTAAACTAAACTCGTCACAGCACTGGACTAAAACAATTATTATTAATCCTTAGATATATATATACAGATTTAGAAAGAATGTTCTACGTAACCTGGGCACTTCAAATTATATATTGTTACCAAATGTATTTTGTGAATGTAAAATAGGTAAAAAACAAAAATTAAATTGATGCTTCAAGTGTTCAAATTAAAAAACAAATTAATTATTATAAAGTAATTTTTTTTTTAATGTTTAATAATACTTTTCATAACTAAATAATTAAACACAGCCCAGTATTATATCAGATACTTGCTGGAATATTGAGAGTGTGCTGTATACATAAAACTAACATCTCATTATAGAATCTGTTTTTTGTTTTTTTCATTCACAGCTTTGAAAATCAAGACAAAATTATACAATATTTATATATATTAGAAATAAATACATATTAACATAAACAAGTAAATAAGACATATCAAATTACAGAACTTTAGCAGGAACTTTATGTCTTAAAATATACAAAGCTTCAATTTATGTTTCTAATCGAAAGTTTAAATGGAGTCCAGGCCACCACCAGTAAGTTTTGTAGCATACAAATGAAGCACCTAAAAAATAAAAAAAAGAATTAATGAAATCAAAATTTTAAATAGAATAAAAATCAGAAACATTAGATCTACATTAAATATGTAAAGGTAATTTTAAAAAATAAAATGTTGCTAGCCAATTAGGTAACAATTTTACAAAATTAAGTTGTCTTTTTTAGGATAGTAAAACACATTATAGTTTTGAAAAAATTAAGTATTGTGAAGAATAATTAATCTGAAAAAGAATGAGGAATAACAAATTTGGGAGAGGGGAATCGCATAATGTGCACAAATAAATAAAACTGAAGTAACATTCAGTAACAATTGAAATGGTCATGTAAAGTTGTTGCTAAGGATAACAAACAAATCACTTAAGGGTAATGTCTTAGAGGGTAACCTGAAACATTGAACAATAGGAATACACAGACAGACATTGTTAAAACTATTGGGACTGAAAGTCTGGTTTTTAAAGTAATTATTATTATTTTAATTCATATTTTCATATTTCAAATTACTGTCCATTTCTTAGCTCATCAGGGGCATAGCAACTACTGACTTTTTCAACTGCCTTCCATTTTTCTCTATCCCTTGCATGTACTTTGTTCACCTTCAAATGTAGTACGTTTTGGAGTACACTTGTGCCTTCATAAAGTATTTTTGCATCCTGTTATCTTCCATGCTCATTAAATGACCAAACCATTTCATTCTCTGGATTCTGCTCCAGACCAAGACATTCAGGTTTTTATATTTATTGTACACCTCCTTATTTTAAATATAAAGTTATTATTATATATAAGGCCACCTGTTATTATTTCTTCTGTGATGGGTGTTAAATCCTTATTCAAGTAAAAACCAAAATGCTACAAAAAATTTACAAATAGTAGTCTGATTAAAACTTGAAATTAATAGCGATAAATGTGAATTTTCAAAATGTTCATATCAGGCTATTTTTAAACTGTTTAAAGTTTATGTATATTGAAGTTGCGACAGTCTCATCATATCTATTTATTTTACATCTACTATGATGAGAATTTTTTAATCTCCAGCAGCATTTTTATTGTATAACTTTATCCACATTAAAATTTAACATAAAATAATTATGTAATTGCCATTCAAATTAAAAAAATATAAACTTCTCATCTACAGTTTTTACTTCGAAGACGACTGAGTGAGTTATATTGAACAGCACGACTTTTGAGGCACCTAGGGCTAAACAACTCAGAAAAAATGGACTCGACATCCTCATGCAAAAAAGTTTCCTCTGTTAACGACATAAAAAATTACCTATACCACAAAGAAATTGTGTATGGGTAGAAAACTCCAGTAGTACAGGAGTATTTCAACCTCGGTAAAAGATGACCTACAACCAAGAGGCGGCTGAATTGGGCAGATAAAGGCCACTGTTGAGGACTTATATAACCAAAACCAAAGACAAAATAATATACAGGATGTTTCAGGGTAAAGTGGTCAAACTGAAAATATGAATTAAGGACCTCAAAACAAGAAAAAAATGTCCTCTGAAGGTATGTCCGCAAATACTTTGTTTAGGAGATAATCACATCTAAAGATTTTCATTGTTATGAATTATTTACGTTATATTAAGTAAAAAAATTATTTATTTGTTTCAATGACAAAGTAAAGTAAAGGGGCAAAAATACCATCAGGACGTGGTATTATAGCAAATGTGCCAGTTTCTCTAAGACGTTGAGTTCCCAATGCTAATTCCAAATAGTATTAATCCTTACGTTGTCATTAGTTTTTATACAGTTAGGAATAAAAGACCATATTAGTATTCTATCTAATGCAGCTCCTAAACAAAGCGTTTGCGGACATACCTTCACTTTGAACAACATATAATATGAATGTTAATGTTTACATTTAATTAATAAAGTAGTAAGAACAAATAAATATGTTTTATTTATTTCATATAACCTAAATAATTCATAACAATGAAAATTTAGGTGTGAAGATCTCCTAATCATTTGTGGACATACCTTCAGAAGAAATTTTTTTTTTTTTTTTTGAGATCCTTAGTTCATCTTTGCTGTTTGGCCACTTAACCCTGAAACACCCTGTATATTTATAGGCGACACATACATTATCTGCACTACATCTTAATGTTGGTGACACCAATATTCTCAAATGGGAAGGTAGAGAGAAAATAAAAGATAAAATATCCCTTCTTAACTATTATTTTGTTCTTATTATGATTCTGAAGTCATAATAAAATAAAAAATAAAAAAAGACTCATTACTTAAACTCTTTAAGAGGAGTTTGAACTATAATGGTTTAGAATCATAAATCATCCAATAAGTTTAAAGTGAATTAAATTTTCTAATCGATCAACATAGAAAGTAAATATATATTGAAAAGTGAATCTAAATATTTTAAACATTATTAGAGTTCTAAAAACCCATATGTGAATTTTATTACCTTGTATATAAAAGAGTATTGATCCTTCGTTTGTACAGCTCCTGCTCTTCCTCTCCTCACTTGAACCACTGTTTTTGGTATATCAACACTCCTACCAGCCTCAAAGTCTCTTATAGCAATGTCAATCGCAATCACAGTCCCTGTGCGCCCAGTACCAGGCGAGCAATGGACAACAATCGGTGATGATTTAGAATATGACCGGGCTTCTATTAAGAAAGCTATCACTGAAGAAGGTTCCGGAGGAACACCTGTAGGAGGCCATCCAGCGTACCACATATGTGTCACTTCTCTCCAAAGGTTTGTTTCAAGATTCTGGAAAGAATCATGTAGTAATTAAATAAAATTTTCAAGAATGCAATCAAACTTCATATACAAATTAATATAAAATGGTTAAAACTAAATTAAATATGATTATGAGTTTAATAATAATATGCCTATATTTAGAAAGATATACAGAGATTTCATCTATACAAGTACAGAAGTATTTAAATGTAAAAGAGTCATAAATACTGCAACATATTTTAAACTGTAGATACTTGATATTAAGATAAGAGATAAAGTATAGATTGGTATAGAAATATTCTTTGCTAATAGGGAAACATGATTCTATAAATAAAGTATTATAATAAAATTATATATAAAAAATAGACATTCAATGGGACTACTAAAGAGAAAACAGATCAATATTGAATTTTTCTTAATTTTTCAATTAAAAAAAATTAAGAGTAAACATTTATTTCATGTTAAATTAATTTTTCTTTGTCTTCCTTAAATTTTTGTTTGGTACTAAATAGTAAAATTTTACTACACTGAAACAATAGGAGATTATTTAAAAATAATAAATATTTGAACAATAAAAAAATTATGAAGAGAAGAATAGTTGGTGTGATCAGTCAAATAAGAAGGCAAAAATAAATGATAATATTTATTTTGACATTTGCTGACATTTCGACCTGAAGTTCAAGCCTTCATCAGGGCTAAGAAAAATTCATTAAAATTTTGTTGCCTCTTTCTATTAAAATTTTGTTTAATTATCCATAATATTTATGAGTAATATATCTCTCGTCCTTATTTACGCTTCCGATACTTTAGTTCAAACTTCGTCATAAAACCGTTAGGGATGACGCCACTATACATCTCTTCTCTCTCCCTCTCCCTGGCTACCATTCTCATTTCTCCATTAACACATTTTGGAGACAGGTTTGTTTTCTTTTTTCTCTTTCTTATTTCAGCCTTCTCAGTTTCTTTCCTCCTTCCTTTTCTCTGTTTACTCCTGATTATGTTTACTTCATCATTCCACATTTTGTACCAGTTATTATTATTTATCTCTTAGTTCTTACTATTGTCATTATTCTAACAACTATATTTTACTTTAATTTTTTTTTTTTACCTACACTACTTATGTTTCTCATTGTTATCTGGGTTTTTTTCTTAGCTCTGATGAAGGCCTGCACTTCAGGTTGAAACGTCGGCAAATGTCAAAATAAATATTATCATTTATAATTGCCTTCTTATTTGACTGATCACCTTAACTATTCTTCTCTTCATTATTCATGACAGTCAACCATTTACTCAATATTAATAAAAAAATAAAAATAAATGTTTGAACATCATAAAATATATACGATTTTTTAAAACAGTATACAAAAATTTAAATACAAGCCTCATATGTAGAGTTTTCAACAAAGTTTTCAAAGTATTTTTATAGAAAAGTGATTGCCAATATTTAATAACTAAAATATGAGGGGACAGAGTGGCCGAATGGGCAAACATGTGTGTATGGCACCGCATTGCTTGGCAACCTGATGGAAAATAATTTGTTGTCAAATTATTTTAAATAGCTCGCGTCCAGGTGCTGGGGTGAGGGAGGGAGAACTTTTGACTTAGGGATTAATCCTCAGCCCTCACCACCTGGCCAAGGAAAACTATGTATAAGCCTAAAAGGCAAGGAAGGTGGAAAACAAAAAAAAAACAACTAAAGCACGAAATTGAGGAAGGAGATGGTCAGGGGTAGCAATCATAAAAAAATTTAAAATAGTGCAAAAAATATTTAAGAAGCATTTAAAATATGAAATAAATTACCTTCAATTGTAAACTGGATATAACATATTTTTCTCTTGCTTCTCTCTTCTTCAATGTTACTTGAAGATCACCGAACACTCTGTGGCAATCCAGCACTTCCGATGGGGGTAAGTAATCAGCACATTTTTCCTAAAAAATATTTGTGACAAACCATATATATAAAAACAAAAATATTTTGAGTAGGTACATAATAATCTATTATACTCTTGCACAATAACATTAGACATAAATATAATAATATACATTTGAATGTCCTGTTATTCGTTCTGTGTGAAATTAACATATAGTTATTATGTTAAGATAAGGTGCTTATTTAATAGCAGGTAGCGTCAAAACCTCCCTTCTTATCTAATCTCATTCCACATAACCTCCCTTATCTCATCTAAGCTAAGTTATTCCCTTGTTTATTTTTTTTTTCTTGTTTTACCTATGAGTTAGTGTTATTTAATTATGGATGTTGTCACATTGTGAGAATTGCCGTCTTCAGAAGAAGAGGCTATAAAATATTTTCAAGACGCCGGGATATTTGCAAAGGTCAAATATTGTGATGAAGGTTATCATATGAAGTTCGACGGGAAGATTAAATAGAGATGCTTTTGTAGTTGTAACAAACTGTTTCTATAAGGAAAGGAACCTGGTTAAAGGGGTCGAGGATTTCTTTTTTAACGGCTTTAAAATTCATTTATGGGTGGTCCCATAATTTAACAACAATACAGTGGGGGAAAGAGCAGCTCAAACTATCCAACGCAACTATCGTAACATGGAACAAATTTTTAAGGGAAGTTTGTGCCCATGACATGTTATACAGGTCGAATAAAAAAATTGAATGGCCTGGCAAAGTTGGCGAAATAGACGTAATAAAAGTATTTTTTTTTTATTACATTTGTTTTTGTTTTTGTTCACAATTTCAATAATAATAATGCAATAAAATAAATATGAATACGAAGATATAATAACATGAATACAATACAATAAATATGAATACGAAGAGCTTATCAGTGTTAAGGTTATAAACATTGACAGATAGCAGTCGGACGCTACCCGCTATTAAATAAGTACCTAAGATAATTACAAGGACTATATTATATCATATTATTTTTAAAAATAATTATTTATTGCATACCACGCCATTTTCTGTAAGGGCTGTAAGCATTATTATCAACCTTGATTGTTCATCCCAGATCATCTTCCAGAAGTCTTCTATAGTGTTTTGAAGAGGGGCTTGACAAGCAATATAAAATTTGTCAGCCCCTTTCGCACCCTGTCAAAATACAAAAAAATAAGTGTGTTAGAATATTAGTTTTTACAAATTGATTATTCTATAAGATATATTAACTTGCTTAGAATTTCAAGTTAATCAAGTAAAAAAATTTCGAGTATCAAGTTATATATCAATAAAAAGTTTTAAGACCATATCTATCCAACAGTATAATTGATTTAAACAAAAAATATTTTAAGAACATACAACAGTAAAAATAACCAAGACATCACATTACATGAAAGTATCCAAGGAAATCTTTAGGCTTTGAATAATTTCCAAAAGAAAAAACTATCCAACAACTGTACATTGATTCTAGCAAAAGTGGCTAACTTTGAACGCGCTTTCATCCATAGTAGCTTTTTTATTACTAGAGAAATTAAGAAGCCTTAATGGATAATACAAAACCTACCTAAACAAAATTCAATAATAAAGAATTTCTTTTTTTTTTATTATTATTTTGTTTTATTCTCTTTTTAGAGCCGAAATTCGTGAATTTTAGGGTTTTTTAATTTTGAGGAATGATGACTAAATTAGCTAATTCTAAAGTTACAGAGGCAAATAGGTAAAAAGTGAAGTTTGAGATCGAAGTGCCTGAAAGTTAATGAAAAGGTTTTTTTCCCCTAATTAAACACTAATATTTCAGTTCATTATATATTCATTCTTGTTGTTTATAATGTTAAATAATTCTAGATGCATTAGTCATTTTAGTTTAAATTTGAAATGTACAGTTTCATAATTTATTAACTTTAAATATAAACTGATTACTATAACTAACCTTGACGTAATTTGCATTTATAAATTGATCTTCTGGTGAAGGGGAACGTAGCTGAACTCTAGTTTCAGGTATTGGAATAACATTCGCATATCGATTTTTAATTTCAGCTCCAGGAGGTAGTTCATCCGGTTTAACAACTACTTGCGGAAGTGATGAAAACTCTTCATCTGTTTTAGATTTGTCGGAAGCCATATTGGACAAACCAGCAAAATTTACTGGATTGGAGATTGCATCCTGCCAGTCAAAAAAAAAAATTTAATACCATTAACAAAAATAATTTAATCATAATGACTTATTTCTAAAACATTTAAACTCTAACTCAATAGATGTGTAACTACAAGATATTAGAGGATATCCATCGATATATAATAGATAGAGAGAGATATTAAATTCATACAGGATGAAAATGTTAAATAAAAAAGTTAATGCTAATATCTTGAAAAAAGGAGTAAAAATCTCAAATTTTAAATGAACCAAATTCAAACCTGCTCACTCCTCTTATACAATATTTTATGGACATTTAGTAACATCACCTAACACTTGAAATTAACAAATAGTAAAATTCATGAATGAAACATTCATTATTAAAAATATTGTCAACAAAATAATTTAACGATTTTAAACTTCATTTATTTTTTCTCAATTATTATATTTGACGTTTCGGTCTCACTTTGCCCATCTTCAAGTCTGTTTTGTAATTTCGATGCTATTTTTTAATGTCTATATTAAAATTCATGCTTTTAACAAAAATTTGTATTACATGTTTTGTTTTTTTCTTATTCGTTATCCTTTTTTAACTTAACCTTTTGGAGACTATTACATTATAATTTTTTTTAACTGTTACATTTTTTATAATGTATTTCATTAAATTTTGTGACATACTAAAAAAATTTTTTAAAATTAAAATTCAAAGTTTCTAAAAAAAGTTGCACATTTATTTCTCATAAAATTCATGCTCTAAAGACCATTTTCCTGAATATCTGTGCCTAATATCACCCAACTGAATCCCAGTCCATTAGCATATTATTTTATTAACATTATTATATAAGTTAGTTAACATTAAAAATATATATTCCACTTCTCTCTTACTGGGTCATCAAAGGCTGGATTTCCGTAAGATCGTTTCGAGGCTCGGATCGCTTTCCTCCTGACACTATTGTACACAGATATATTATCAAGGCTGTAATCGTCTAGAGAAACAGGCGTGCATCTTTGGCCGTAATTAAAACCAGATTGCCTTTTTCTCATGATAACCTAAAAAACATCAATTGTTCAGAACATTAATCAATAATTGTAAAATAATTATTCAGAACATTGACAAGAATTTGAATAAAATTAAGAAGCTATTAAGATTACTAACCAATAAAATTGTCAAAGCGAATAAACAAACTGCTGCTATAGAAGAAATAATGATCACAGCGACCATGGTGCCACTGATTTGAGATTCTGTTTCCAACAACGCTTCTTGCTGCACTTTTTCAACCTGTGAAATCTGAAAAAAGTCAAAATTTTTAATTGTATCTTTAAGAAACAACAACAAATAAAACTATTTATTTCTCTTATTTTGAAAAAAAAAAACAGATATTGACATCAATTAATTTAAAAGTTAACTACTCTTTTCATTGCTCTATATACTGTAGGTATTTTATTATTAATTAACTTATTAACTTAAATTATTATTAATTAAATAAATAAATATTATTGTTTTTCTCTTTTTCATGATATCAAAATAAAATAAATAAATATCTACTTAACAAAGTTGCAAAAATGAAACTATTTATCTCTTAAGCAATATTTTCTTATTTTGACAAAGAATAATTAGATTATTTTGATTATTTTATTTTTTGTGAACTATAATTTAATTAAATTAAAAAATAATTTGATTTTTACTGGACAATATATCTTTCACAATAATGAATTAAATTACATCGGTAAATTATTAATTATAATTTTTTTTTGATGTAGAGATGGTTGACCGTTGATATGATATGAGAAGGAGTTAGTTGAGGGTGCGGTCAAATAAATAAAAAAAATTAAAATATATAAATAATTTTAATTTTTGCCGTAATTAATTTAGTCGTAATTAATTAATTTGCCGTAATTAATTAATTTGCCGTAATAAATAATTTTTTAAAAATTTAAAATTATTTATATATTTTAATTTTTTTTATTTATTTGACCGCACCCTCAACTAACTCCTTCTCATAATTTTTTTTTGTTGGATTTAGTTCGAAATTTTCCAACCTTTATAATTTTTAATTTTAAGATTTTTCCAAATGCTTAATAAAAAATCAAGGTGTTGTGAATACGATCGGTGAACTCTACATTCAATAAAAAAAAATTATATTTTTTTTTTTCAATTTACAATTGCTGTATGTATCTCTCGTTCTATTTCTTTTATCATCTAGTCTTTCAATTCTAAAAGAAGGAAGACCTTGAGAACAAAATTATACTATAAATATCTTTTAGCAGAAAAATATTTGATCAAATATTGATGACTATGTTTTATCAAATTTGTAACTAAGACGCTTTGATTATGTTCTGAGGAAATTGATTTAATAGTTTATAAGAAAGTCATTCTGATTATGTTTACGGTTTAAATGTTTTAGCTTTATTTATAAACCATTAAAATAAAACATATTATTATAAGTATCTCATTACTTACTGGATATTTGAAATCAAGATTTTTACGTCTTGCAAGAGAGATGAAAAGGTCATTGAGGCCCTTATCGTATTGACCTTGACTATTTGTAAGCATTATATGAACGGGTATAAGTCTCGACTCCATTTCATCTCGGAATTCTGTACAATCATTAATTCCTAAGTTTGTTATCATCACCTGGCGTCTGTTTATGGTCCTGTAAGATATATAAAAAAACAAATAAGTAAATTTTAATTTTATAATAGTATAAAGTATTTGAAATATAAGAATTAATATTTATTCGAGGCGTCTATTAATAAAAAGGGATTACTCCAGATTCTAACCTTTTTTTTTTTTTTTTTTAACTTTTATTATGATATTTACAACTGTATTAGTATGAATAGATCAAGTAAATGTGTACAGAGGAATAAAATAACATGAAACACGCTTGTTGAGAAACTACCCATTGGTAGCACTCTAATAATTTATCTACATGAGGAGATCACGAGGCCATCTTCTTTTCAGACGCCTCGGAGGGTTATCAGGAATCGAAGAGGAAGCAAGGTTAGAAACAAGAGGATTCGGATGGTTATGAAGTTTATTATGGAAGGATAGGTATCTGGATTCGGCCAAATCGGAAACATATGGAACATTGATGTCTTTATGGATTGTTTTATTTGTGACAAAGTAAGGAGCATTGAGAATTTTACGAAGGGTTTTGGATTGTAATGATTGGATACGAGAGGAATTTGATGGTTTAGTGGAGCCCCACAGTTCAACTCCATAAGTCCAAATAGGTCTTATTATAGTCATGTATATGAGTCGTTTGTAATTAATGGGAAGTTTAGAGCGTTTGTGTAGTAAGTGTTGGAGTAAGCGGAAACGTCGAGCAGTTTCTTGTCGTTTCAGTCTTGTATGAGGATTCCAAGTGAGACGTTTGTCCAGCTGGAGTCCAAGGTATCGGATTTGTTCTACAGGGATAAGTGGGGTGTTATTAAAGGATACTATAGGGCAGCAAGTCATTGGTTTACGTAGATTCTAACATTTAAAAAAAAAAAAAAAGAATTGTAAGATTCGAGTACTGCATAAAATATCAAATTTTTGATTAATATACATATCAGCAGTATATTAAATATTTCCAAAATGAATTTAGAAAAAACATGAAGTTATCCATTTTGTTAGTAGACACCACATTTCTAAGATGGATTATAACATATATAAACTTCTCTATTTAAATAATAGCAAGTCTGGTGAAATATTACTTGATTTGGTGATGGAAATACACTAAGAAATATAAAAACATGTCTAAATTGTGATAAATATAAACAATTGAAAATAATTAATTATTTTAGGAAGCAAACAGATTTTTGAAAAGAAAAAGAAAAAGTAGAAAAATAATATTAAATTAAGCCTAAATTATTCAACAACATTATATATACCTTTCAGCATAATTTTTGAATACTTTAACAATTGAATCTTTCAGCTGATCTTTGTTTTTACACAAGTCATGGTAGGTTGCTCGAATAACCAATCGAACATAAATGCTCATTATAACTCCTGTATCGTATATTGTATCATCATCAATATCTAAAAAAAAATAAATACAAAATACAAAAAAACTCAATATAAATCAAATCAAAGGCAAAGAACAAAGAAACTCAATAATACGCACTTGTATGGTCATCATCAATAATCGTTACTTCATCAGAAATTGTTGTTGTTTTAACAGATGAGAACCGAGTAACAGGTACTGGTGTTGTTGTCTTGTTAAAGGAATTTCTAACTGTGACTGAAATGCTTCCGTTAACTGCAGTTTCTAACAAATCATCACCATTATCTTCATTTTCATTATTGTTGATAGTATCTTGAGGTACTTTTCTCTCTATGTCTGTTTGATTATATGATAAGGTATCATCCTCATCTCCATCTTCTCCTTCATGAAAAACAAAAGTGTCATTTTTTACTGAATTTTTGGAATCTGAATCAAAGTTTGTTCCATTGCTATCCGAAGGGAATTGATGAATTTCCGTTACTAATTCTTGCTCTTTAATCTCGTTTGATTTAGTAGTAGAACTTGGGGTAGTTGTAGGAACTGCATCTGCTTTCGAAATGTTAGGGGCTGTTGTAATGTTTTCTGAAGTAGATGATGACGGAGCATCGTAAGTAGCGCTCTCAGAGGTATAATTAAAGGTAGAAGGTGTAGTTGTTGATGAAGAATTTAAAATAGTGATGGACTTATTGTTAAACATAACTGTTGTTGAATTATAGTTCGTAGTGGTAGTGTATTCTATTGTAGTAACAGGAGGAAGAGTTGCAAGTGTTTCATTAATTGATACTGTCGAATTATTTATCATTGTATAATTGTTCAGATTCTCTTCGGTTATTGTAGTTGACGGTAGAAAAGTTGTATTAATTAAAGGAAAATGTGTCGTAGAGGAAATTAATATTCTATTTTCTGGTAATTTCTGAGAAACGGAAGAATTTTGTGATGTTAATGTTCTATTGACAGGTTTTATTTGATCTTGAACTTGTATATCATTGGACTGTGTGGTTTCAGTGAGTTCTTTTACATAGTTAGGAAATGATTCTATTTGAAAATCGGTTATATTCATAGTTTTAATAGTGTTGCTGCTAATAGGCTCAGGTTTTATTTCATTAGATCTTATTGTTGAAGGGATTTCGGAACTAACATTAACTACAGAAAGAATGGGTACCATCTTTTTGTTTATTTCTTTTACTTTAATATCATTGGTAGTATGATTAGCTTCATTGATTGGAGAGTCAATATTTTCCGTTTTAGGCGGAAGGGATGATTGAAAGACACTATTAGAAAGAGTAGTAGTTTCTAACGTAAGGGGTAAATTTTTGGCTGATTCCTCATCAGATATGTTATGATTGACATCATTAAAGTCAGTTGAATTAGATTTTTTGGGTATTTTGGAGGATGGAGAGGTGATGTGCATTGTTACGGTTGAGTTTACAGCAGATATGACAGTGCTTGTCGAAACTTGTTCATCATGCTTTTTCTCATTAATTGTATTAATACTAGGATCTGCTTCTTGCAAAGATTTTTTATCAGAATCATCAGTAATGTCAAAAGCGAAATCACTATTTTCACTCGATGCTTTGAAAATTTCTCCAGATGTAGTTGATTCATTCAGTCTTGTAAATGCTAGCGTTGTTAAAGGTAGTGAATTAGTAAAATTTTTGGTTTGTTCGACTTCAACAGAATTTTGTTGCAAGTTATCCACAGAGCTATCGTTGGTAACGATAGTCGGTTCAGGAGTGAGATTTTTTGGAGATTCTGATATAATAAAAGGAAAAAATTCACCATTTTCTATATTGAATGAAGTGTTTTTGAGAAAGGCTAACGGAGGGACTGAAATTGTGTTTTCTTCAGTTTTCAAAGTAGTAACTTCAGCCATAGCTTCTGTCGTAACAGGCAGAGTAGTGAGCTCAAGGTTTGCAATAGTTGAAGTTGTATCGTTACCATCAAAAGTTGTTTCTATTTCCTCATTTCCTGGTGCTGTAATATCAAAACCAGTTGTATCTGGTTCCATTGTTGTACTTGCATCTGTGACTAAATCAGTCACCTCTGAAAGAAAAAAAAAAAAAGAATTAGTACAACTGTAACAAACAGATGAGTATAGAAATATATATTTCCCATGTTAATCTAGAGATAGATGATGAACTAAGATAGAAGCAATATTACTCCATTCCAAGGCAGTAACCGCCTACTTACTGTATATTTTAGGTATGTAAACAGGTATTTTCCACTCGAACTTTTATGTGACAAATCAGAAACGTTTTACAAAACTTAACAATATCAAAATCATAATAAAATCAACGATTTAGTTTCAAGTGAAAAACACTTTCATTTAAAAATAAGAATAATTAATTTATAAATCATATAGATGATGTAGAGATGGTTGACCGTTGATATAATATGAGAAGGAGTCAGTCGGGGGTGCGGTCAAATAAATACTAAATTAAAATATATTTAACTACTTAAAATATATTTAACTACATTGTCACCCACTATATCTCTGATACCATCTTTTATTTCTTTATCTGACAACTTCTACTTATTTTATATCTACTTATATTTATTTTTTATTTTCATCATGTTTTGAATCTTTTGTAGCCCTGAAGACGACCTGCAAAGTGGGTCGAAACGTCGGCAAAAATTAAAATAATTCTTCTTCTTCTTTGTCTTCCTCTTATGCCATTAATTAGCGTCGAGGAGCCTCAACCAGTGCAGCCACTCTTCCCGGTCCCTGCTTAGTCGCTTCATCTCATTAAGGGTTTTGCCTCTTTTACATCCAATCCTTTGAATGTAATCCTGGAACGTGAGTCTGGGGCGTCCGCGTGGTCTCCTTCCTGTGGGTCGAGCCTCTAATATCCTTATAGGATTCAAATTCTCATTCATGCGGCAGACGTGTCCAAACCACTGGAGTTGCCGTCTTTCTAAAGTAGTTTTAAGTTCGGCAACTCCTAGCTGCTCTCTAATGCTTTCATTCCTAATGCGATCCCTTCTAGTTCTGCCAACAGATCTGCGAAGGAACCTCATTTCTGCTGCCGTTATGCGACTAGAGTGCCTGTCTAGCATTGTCCAGCTTTCTCCGCCGTAGGTGAGTGTAGGTAGGTAAACAGACTTATATACGTGCATTTTGGTCTTCTTGTCTACTTCGCGATGGCCGATAATGCTATTAGTAGTCTGGTAATATACCTGATTCGCCTTACATATTCTACTTGATATTTCGGCGTCTATCTTACCAGAACTACTAATTACGGTCCCCAGGTAGGTATATTCAGTCACCACCTCAAGTGTCTCGCCATTGCAGATCAGCTGAACATCTTCTCGCTCTTCCCTCGTCATAACCAGCACTTTACTCTTGGAGGTGTTAATTTGCATCCCTTTCCTGAGCAACTCTTCCTCCCACTCTACCAAAGCTTGTTGTAGTTTGGTCTTTGTGTCGGCTATTAGGACTATGTCATCCGCGTATAGAAGGCTTTGTATGAGGACAGTTCTCAGATTCCACTTCCCAATTGTTGTCCACGCAGTTCGGCGTTTACAAATTTTGTGGATTTCATCCATTACATTTATAAATAGAAGGGGACTTAAGCTATCTCCCTGTCTAACTCCTCTCGCAATTGGAAAAGGTTCCGATTCCATACCGTTCATCCTTACCACTGCCATGGCTCCTTGATAGGCTGACTGTATGGCCGCCAGCAAGTCTCCAGGTACACCCTTGGCTATTAGGGCATTCCAAATTTCTTTTCTTGGAACCACATCAAACGCTGACTTCAGATCAAGGAACGCAAGATACAGATTTTTATCTCTGTCCCAAGCTTTTTCAGCAATATTTCTGAGAACAAAGATGTGATCCTGCGTCTGTCGGCCTGGACGAAAACCAGCCTGTTCCGCTTCTAACTGCCCTTCCACAATCCGTCGGAGTCTCCTTTCTAGTATGGAAGTATAAAGTTTATAGACCACTGATAGCAGACTAATGGGTCTATAATTTTTGCAATCTGTCGTGCATCCTTTTTTATAAATCGGGAGGATTATACAATATTCCCAGTCCATGGGAATTTTCTTTCTGTCATATACTTCTTGGAACAGCGATTGTAGTGCTTTAAGAAGTTCTTGACCACCGAATTTTAAATATTCTGGTGCGATTCCATCCCTTCCTGATGCCTTACCTCTTTTTAGCTTATGGATTGCATTTTCTATTTCTTCTTCCTCTATAACCTCCAGGCTTTCTTGAATATTGGGCTCTTGTTCTTGATAATGGTCTTTTTCTGGATTTTCGGAGAATTGTTCCTGGAAATATTCCTTCCATCTGCCAAGGATCTTTTCCTTGTCTGTAAGTAGGATTCCATCGCTACCTTTTACATTTCTAATAGGCTTGCATTGTTTTCCTCTTAACATCTTAACTTTTCGCCAAAATGTTCTTATAGATTCGCGGTGATCCTCGCTCAGCCTTTTACCAAACTCCTCCCACGACTTCTTCTTCGCCTGGCGTATGGTTACCTTACATTCATTCCTGGCTATTCGATATAAGTGTAGCTTTCCTTCAGTTCTATCCATAAGGTATGCTTTCCAGGCAAGCTTCTTCTGAGAAACCAGTCGTTGGAGATCATTGGTCCACCAGTCTGTCCGCTTTCCCTTGCCAGACACTCTCTTCTTCCCACAAACTGTATTTGCTGTTTCCAGAATACATATTTTCAGTGCCTTCCATATCTCTTCCACATCTCCATCGAATGACGTTTCCCTTAATTTATTTTCCAGGCTTTCTGTAAAGAGGGCCCTTTTCTCTGGGTCATCCAAGGCTCTTACGTTGAGGGTTTCAAATACTTTTGTTTTCCTTTTATACTCCGGGATGATCTTTGTATCAGCCACAAGTAAAAGGTGGTCGCTGCTTATCTCCGCTCCTCTTACTACTTTTATGTCAGCGAAATACTGCCTTATGTTCCTATCATATATGAAATAGTCAATTATACTATTTCGTTCCATGCATGAGAAAGTGATTTTGTGGATTCTCTTGTGTGGATAGAAGGAATTTCCTATGAGGAAGTCATTATGCACGCAAAAGTCTATTAGCCGTTGTCCATTAGTATTCCTCACATTCTCACCTCCATGTAGCCCCAAAACTCCATATCCAGATCTTTCATCATTTCCTGTTCTGGCATTGAAGTCCCCACTCAGGATTACTGACCTTCCTTTTCCTTTAGCTTTATCTACTATTTTTTGCAAATCCGAGTAGAATGCCTCCTTGTCTGCAACACTAGCATCTTCCGTTGGTGCATACACCTGGATTATGGAAATCTTACCTATGGTCATCTTAAAATCTGCTACAATCATTCTTGGAGATATCGGCTCCCAGTCCTCTAAATGATCATACATATTAGGCGACATTACTAGACCCACTCCCTCTTTGGCGAAAACCCCTCTAGGTACTCCAGCATAAATTAGGGAGTAATTATTAGCCAATTTCATTTCTCCACTGCCCTTTTTCTTCACTTCACTTATGCCGAGGATTTCTACTTTGTAGGTCCTCATTTCCTCCACCAGCTCGACCTCCTTCCCAGTTAAAGTTTTTATGTTCCACGTTCCAATTCGTATATCCCTTAGTGCGCCAGGTCGTTTCCTTGAAGACAGTCCACATCCGAGGCTAGTTGAATTGCTTTGAATCGTTGATTCTCCAGACGGGTGATTAGCCCAGTGCTGGAGGTCCCGTATCCTCGGGACAACTGGCCTCCTGAATATTTATATCCCCTCAGGAGGAAGGGTGGCCGGGCTATACCCCCCCAGCACTGGGTACCTGTTGGTCCACGGGTCTTTATTCAGTATATTCAGACCACCCCTCCTAAGAGGGATCCCCTATCCGCCACCCGGGGGACGCGCTCCCTAGTGGACAGGTTCCACCGAGAGAAATTAAAATAATTAATATATTTTAATTTAGTATTTATTTGACCGCACCCCCGACTAACTCCTTCTCATATAAATCATATAATTGTTATGGAAAACTACTTTATTATTTCTTATTTATTAATTGTATAAATGTGGTATGTATTTTATTAATTGAAACAATTTGTAAAGTATAAATAAATGTTATAATAAAGATGGCAACACTGTCTCAGACCAATAACAAACATGAGTATGCTTGGCTTGGGCCTGTTTGCTTGTGGCCTACATTAGAGTAACATTGAATATCGACTGTTATGAATTTTATTACGTTATATGTGAGATGATTGAATGTATGTTTTTTCAGAAAAAAGTTCTGATGAAAAGTACAAACCAAAACATCAACCAAGTGTAAAAGATGAAAATAAAGTAAAATTGTGATAGTTCTTTTTTGTTTAATGACTTAATAATAAAATAAACTTCCTAAAAAATTCACAAAGAATAAATATTACTATTATTATTAATACTAGATAATACTAACTGTATTTTAAAATACCATATGCCCAGGTCTCTTTCAATCTCATAAACCAACTTTTTGGTGTTTCACCTTCTGTAAATAACAGGTAACCATTCTAAAGATTGAATCAGATTCCATCTACCACATTGGCTGTTCGGTAAATTTTGTGTCAAAATTTTATTTTGAAGTGAACTAACACTACAGGAGGCCATTTTTTAAATGAACCTTCAACTTAAAAAGTAAATTTTACATACTTGTGTAGTTTTTTTATAAGAACTGATTCAGCCATTTAAGAGAGTGAGAAAATTGTACTAAGAATCTACTACCAAAATTTCAATTTTTGAGACAGATACCAATCTTTGTTTTGAAGCCACACAATTATATTTAAAAAAAAAATAGTTTACTTATTTGAAATATGGTAGGTATACAGTTAATTACCTATTTAAAAGAAAAAAAATTACCAGTAGTAATTGGAGATGGTGTGGTTGTCCTACTGAGCCTGGTGGACCAGTTGACGAATGGCTTCACACCAGGAGGGGGTGCAGGACCCTTGAGGCTTGCCAAAGCCCAAGCAGTTGGTGGCATCGCCTCAGCCACTTGAGTAGTGCTTGGGTAGCGACTGGGGGTCAGTGCATTGTAGACCAAAAGTGTAGTGAGGTCCGATGGCCGCGTACGAGTCATGTTCCGTTTTGTTAGCTTAAAGGCTTTCTTCAACGGAGTAGTCTCAGGGCTCTCAGTCGTTCTCCGGTACTTCTCTTTCAAAGTTGACTCAGTCGAAACTGGGTACTTCAGAACAGGGACTGTGTTTTTTGACAAGTCCACGCTATCATTGCTTAACCTAATTGTACTTTGTCTTTCATCAGGTGGTTTGTCTGTTATTCTCCCATCATCAAAACTACTAGTGCTTGTGAATGCTCTTGAAACCTTGGTTGAAACAAAAGAACGGACCGAAGAGTTACCCTTTGGTCCGGACTCTTGCTTGATGACCAGATGTTTCTCCGATTTGCTGGTAACACCATCTTCGCCCAAAACTTCCACCAACAGCAACCATAACAAGAGCACCCCTGAAACAACATAAACAAAACATGAACAACTAGATTCTTAATACTTTTAGAAAAATAACTACATATAAATGCCTTAGGCTCATGTTTCAATTATTTTGATGAACTGGCCGTTTTATGTTTACGACTCATAGAGACTAATAGTGTACAAAAAAATTATTACAATATTTCGGAAAACAAAATTAATTTAATAGGGATCACTTTTTTTCAAATTTACAAGATAAATGTTATTGCCATAGCAAAGTGGAATAAATGTGGCTGGTAGACAGAAAATATTTCCTAATTTTTCTAATCACTAAAGTGTGAGCTGAGTTCTCATAAGAAACATGGAAACTGTTTTTGATGTAAAATTGAAAATTTATGTTCTCCTTTCATTGCATTATATTAAATAGTAAGTATATAACAAACTTCAACTGAGTGAAAAATTGAAAATTTTGAATGAAACTTCAAAAACATTATTATTTTGAAATGGCCATTTATTGTATGAAAATGAAAAACTTAATCAAAGCTATATATAATATCGAAAAGAACAAATAAATCAGAAATACAAAAGACTAATAAGGACCTAGAACTTAGGAACTAATAAAAGTTCTTACTATTATTATCTGTATTGCTATCATATGATCAGTATACCAGGTTCTTGATTTCTCTTGTTAAAGGTACTTATTTCTATACTATGTCGAAATATAGGCCTCACCCCAACAATTTTTATTTAGAAGAAAACTACAAATGCCAGATAAGATTTTTAAATAGGATATTTCATTCTTGGAAGAAGTGTGAAATAATTTATTCAAACTCACATGTGGACATGATTTCAAGCAAGAAAATTCTTTTTCTCAATGCTATCATTAGGAATATGAAGATAAATTCAAAAAATGTTCCAATACTTAAAAAAAAAAAAGAAAAAGAAAAATACTCTATAATTTGTGGACTCATTGCTATGATTATTCTCGACTTCCCGGGACTAACCAACAGCTTGTCCTGAAAGCAGAGCGGAAGCATAACTGGAGCGAGACATGCTAGAATCATATTCCTATCGATTTAAATTATTTAAAAAAATAAATAAGCAGAATTCATTATTTAATTACTCATTCTGTCAAGCGCGTGTTTAGACATCTTGGATTGATGCTACGGTCTATAGATTTATCTTTTTTTGAATGTCGATTTGAGATGTGCTTTATTCAATCTGTATATGCTCTATTTCCCGATGATTTTTCATCTAAAGGTACTTTAGAGAAAGCTAATATTGAAATTTAGCCATTTAAGTCCTGTTAGAGAACATCAATAAGAATAAAACCCTACATTATATTAAAAACTGCTTAATAATACACTGATATACCGAGTTTAATCAAAATCGTAAGAGCTGTTTTCGAAAAAATCGTAAAAATATGTAACATCGATTATACAAACTGTCACTTCCGCTTAGCCGATTTTGACGAAAAAGTTGCTGTAACATCTCAGGTATACAAACACCTTAAATATGCAATTTCATTTTTATACGATTTTTCGTTTTTGAGCTAGACTCATAGAATAGAATAGAATAGAAGAATCAACTTTATTCTGGGACTACGTCCCTTGAGAATAACAATATTGTACATAAAATTAATATTACATCTGGCCAAAATGTAATGTTAATACCTAGCTAGATTAGTCACATACATACACACACATAGACTATTTTGCGGGACTTGGTTATTTGCACTCAGGAGACTTAAAAACATGTATTTCCTTGAAAATTCAGATTCGAAAATTTTCACGATCGCAATACTATCCCTTACTATATATTTCGTACACAGGTAAGTGAAAAAAAAAAAACACTAAACCTCGTCAATAGCTACTAAACAAAAAAAGAAAATAGGTTGACAAACAGAGGAATAAAAGGAACTGAACTGTTTTGCTTTTGCCTATTTATATAATGATAACAAATTCTGGATTCCGCGTAAATAAAATTCAATTGTTTTATGATATTCTGTATATATATATTTTTTCATAATGATTAACCTTTTGCAACAAAATGGGATTTATCAATCCAAGACGTTTACAAAAGATAATCGTTAAAATGATTCAGAAGATTGGTTTCATTTCCGATTGCTGAATGAGAAGCAGTGAAGTCCTCTATTTGGTTCAAAGGGAAGTCACGTTTACATTTCTCAACCATGCCCGTTTGAACCAGTCTTACAAAACAACGTTAGCCTATCCATTCTAATTATCCAAGCAATACAAAACGTGTATCGGGATTCAGGCGTTTCTTCCTCGAGCTGTTGTAAAGAACTTCATACAAAATGCCTCCTTCCATTCCTTTTACTTTCCTACCTATACTAGGTAAGGGAAGTATTGCAATCCGGTCAAATTTCCGATATGCGGTTTTCGACGGATCTATACGTTTCAGAGCCCTCTGATTTTGAAAAACGCATTTTTAACCATTGGTCTGACTGTCTGTGCCAAGATTTTCTCGGGAACTACTGAACCGATTTTGTTGCTTCTTTTGTAGGATTTTGACTACTGATGCCTGTGACACGAATCGGATGCTCCATGCGCAATAAATGAAAAAAAAAGTTTTTCTATAGTCTGTAGCGCAAAAACGGCTCAAATGATTTTGATGAAGCTTTCCTTTAATGATAATTGTTCTTTCAATTTTCGTATGTGGACTAAATTCTCGAGAAAAGTTAGGAAAAAAAGAATGTTTTGGGCCTAACTCGCTAAGTATATATTCTATGGTAAAATTTATATGAAAACTTTTGAAAGGTAATTAAATTACCAACAAAACAAAAAAAAAAACATTGGAATCGAACCAGTATTAGCGATGATACATCATATTCTATTTTCTATTTTAATTTATTACTTTCCTACCTATACTAGGAAGTACACTAAGGAAAGTATTGCAATCCGGTCAAATTTCCGATATGCGGAAAAACGTTGTGTAGGGAGTATTTTGGTTCTGAGAACTTGCAATAAGAAAAGATCAAGAAGGAATTAACGTCGGTAGGCATGAGGACTCCACAGGCCTTTTGGACATACTTCAGCCCGCTCGGCCACCCCGCTCCCCAATAAACTGATTACTGAGTTACTCCTTTACGTATGATGCTCTACCCTTTCTCTCAAGTATTGAACACATGTCAAGTTACACTAACTTTCTTCTCCTCATCCTCTCTTTTGAAGTACCTTCTTATCTTTTTGCGATTATTAAATCTCATATTATCTCCGATTTATCTGTATAGATGACGAGTTTACGTTAAATAATAAAATTATTTTATCCAGAGACTTCTACAACGGAGTGGCTATGGTAAAAGGAGGAATGACTCAAGCGGCAAACCTATCAGCTCACGCTATCAACTCCTTTTACGACTTCCGTTACTAATCGACGACTTGGGCCTGAGTAAATTGCTTGAGGAGGGATCCTCGCAGTCCTTTAATAACACATAAAAACCATGCGGTTGCATAATGTGCTGTAAATTTTCTTCGAATGATTAAATAATTCGAATTTGTTTATAAAGTCCAAGTTGAGAATTGGATTAATCTAATAAAATGAGTTAAACTAGACCGGCCTCCTCGGAGATGGTGACCTCAAAAAGAACACAAGACAATTTAGCTATTGAGCTGATGGATCATTTGCCTCTTCTCGTCCTAGCCTATTTAGCCTATCACACCTCTTTCTCTGACTTTGACTTATGGATGAACCCTTGCGTTATTTTCTCAAGGACTATTTATTTTATAAGTGTTTATAAAAACAAGAAATGGCCATCAAGGAAAATTCCCTACTGAGATCTACTGGTACAGTTGCCCAAAATCGGTCTTGGTCTTGCACTTTGCGAGACCAAAACCAAAGCCGCTTAACTGTTGCAAGACCAAGAACAGGACTGGTAAAAAAAATCTATTTTTTAAATACAAATTAAGGCAAAATAGTAACTAAAACTTGACAATCTTAGTTACTACATGTTAATATTTGATATAACCAATATACTTTTGCATTTAACTCTTCTAATTTTTCGGGCTAAGTTAGGTTTTTCCTATCTAAGAAATTACAGTAATACCACTATAGTGATAAGCTAATAAGTAACTGCAAGACTGTTGCGAGACTCTTGCGCAAGACAAAGACTATGACCGAGACTGAATTTGCAAGACCAAGACTCGTCTCGGTCTCGCATTTGGGCAACACTACCTACTGCTGACATCAAATTAAAAAAAAAAAAAAATTGACAAAGACATATTCAGAGAACCAAGGAAGTAATAATTAAAAAAAAAAATCTGTTCCGCGCATCACAAACTTTGAGAAAATGATGAATGGAAAATTGGGCCATAGCAAAAAGTTCTTTTTTGAAGGAGCTGAAGTTTGAAGAACACACATGTGAATTTCGGTCATATTTGTCAACGCAAAAAATCATTAAGACCATCAAAATAACTCAAATAGTTTTAATTACATCGAAGGAAGGCAATGAAAACCTCGTAACTCCACCAATCTGAGCTCTATATGCTAAGAGAGATTTGGAAGTAGAATAAGAAAAGTAAATTTTACTGTGGGACACGAAGTCACCGAATAATAATAATAACTAACAATAGAAGTGTCATTTTTCTGACAAGAAATAATAAAATTACAGAGTGATATAACACTAGAATTCAAATAAAGGATAGGCATAAGTAAACAAATAAAATTATAGAAAATAAATATCAGCTAATTGTACTTTTTGGGGGGTCCCCCGTTCCTCGCCTTTATGGCTATACGGGGTTTTCCTGGGCCAGGGGTGAGGATGAGGATTTAAAAGAGACCCCTTCCCGGCAACAGAACGAAAACTTGGAACTATTTTTATCCGATTATCTATGTATCAGGTTGCCGGGCAACGGTGGTGCTGTGTACACACTTTAGACCGCTCGGCCTCCCTGCATAATTGTGCTAATAAGCAATATAGATAATATACATATACAACTGTGAAATAACAGTAAAACATAGGTACATTATACAATACATAAGGTAACACTATAAACATAATACAGTCTGAATTAGTAGAAAAAGGCCTTTTCAGTCTCGATAAATAATAAATTTATTTTCAATTTATCCAAATTTTCGCCTCGTCAGGGATAATCTGATTTTACATGTGATTCAAAATTTTCATTTTTTAGCAGTGCACCCACATGCACACTTGTGTGAAGGAACACAACCGATGAAGGTAACTTATTCAGTATGAAGGTAAATGTGAAATGAAAGATAATATATAGATAACTATTAAATAACAGTAGAGGGTGACAACACTTAGATAAGAAATTGTAATTCTGAAAGATTTATTGTTGGGGTGATGGATAAATAATTAGGTATTAAAAGAAGTTAAAGATCAGAAATGGCGTATAATAATAATAGAGTTGGGTGAGGAATTTCAAAACAAGATAGCAAGCATTATAAAGGATTTTTAAAAGGAAGCAGTCCTAAGAGAAGGAATATAGTGGTTTGGGGCTGGGATCTCGTGTTGATAGAATGGACCAAGGAACAAGGGATAATTAAATTGAGAAGTAGGTTTTTTTTTTTTTTTCTGTAAAGGTTTGGAAAAGGAATAAAGTTAGGAATTTTTACCGAATAGAGCCCAAGTACATAGATATATCAAGGGTGATAAATATTCAGTAATATTTAAAAAAAAAAAAATTGAATTTTTTATTTGTGCCAACGTTTCAAACTAAACATGTAGGTCATCTTCAGGGCTGAAAATTTTAAAATACAATCAGATATATTATATTATACGACTGATAATTGTAAATAATAAACCATAGTGATTGATGGTACATGAATCGTAACTAATATTGCAATACACATATTAAAAATGAAATATGTAAATAGTTATCTATATAAATAAAAATAATAAATAATGTATATAGTCCATTTATACAAATTTGTATCTCTTGCTAACCGTGGTTTGAGCACTGAGGGTGTTCAAGTACTGACACATTTGGTAGATGAGTAAAAAGGTCAGGAGGAGAGGATTTCTCAGTTGTTTTTTTTCAGATAGCAAAGGGTAAGTAAACAAGGTCAGAAGGGAAGGCACAAAAAAAAAAAAAATAAATAAAAATTTAAAAAAAGACTGCGTCCTGAGTATTTATCACCCATGATATGTAGAACTGTTGACTAGCTTCCTTAAATAGATATATCAAATTATACTACATAGTAAGTATTAATTGAACTAAATCTGGATCGCTTTATACCTTACATATCTTAATAAACTTTAATTTTTTTCATGTAAAATCCACCAAAATGGATTTACGAGGTTTTCATTGTCTGCCATCGATAGGTCAAAAGTAGACACACTTAGAGCATTATGTTATGATTTCACAGGAGAAAAATTTAATTATTGATTAATTTAATGGGGACGCATACCTCTAAGGTCCTTAAGGCAGAGTTTGAAGGGTTTGTTTTGCAGTTACCCAATTAATTCTATATTTTTACTAACCAAATAATAATTTTTTTAATATTAGCTCTTAATAGTATTATTAATATTACTATTCATTTATAATTTATTTAATTTTATTTTTTAACTGTCTCCAATGAAATAAAGTTAGTATGCTACTTACAAAGAAGGTGCTTGATCGTATATCTCTTCATCTTCGCCGGGATCCTGGGTCCCTACTTTCTGCAGCTTCTAACATTTTAATGCCTGGAACAGAAGGAGAACATATCAGTGTCATGGAGTTTCAGAAAACTGTTTATATTTTAAATATTATTATTAAGTATAATTAAAAATAAAAATAAAAATTGTGTACGTAGTATTCACTCTTAAACACACCCCTTCCTCCAAAATATATTTTAATAACATTGAAATTCCTGCATCCGATGTAATTAAATATTTGGGTTTTTACCTTGATAAAGAACTAACTTTGAGGACACACATTAGACAAAAACTAAAATTAAACAAGACGATACGGTCTTTTATCTAGGTTACTCGACAGAATTATCTTTGACTAACAAACTAACTCTCTATAAAGTTTTACTTAAACCAATTTGGACTTATGGCATAAAACTGTGGGGTTCTGCTAAAACTTCCATTATTAATAAAATCCAGTCTTTCCAATCCAAAATTTTACGAACGATAGTTGACGCAATATTTTATGTTGCAAACGATAAGATTACATAAAGACTTGAACATCCCAACAATTTTAGACACTGCAAAAGAAAATTACAATAACTTTCACCAAAGACTAACTTTAAACAGAAAACCTTAAAAGCATTAGAAACCCGTACAGCCCAACTCGGCGATTACGTAGGCGGTGGCCAAGAGACCTGCTGAACTGAAGTATTACCTGGATTGTGATGGGAAAGCTGTGAAGCTGCCAAAAAATTTGCTCATTGCAAAAAAAATTTACTTATCGCAAATTTAATTTTTATATCCAATTTTATGTTAAGTATTAATAATAATAATAAATATTTCCACAAACCGATGAATATACTTGAGCTTATTTCTATTCCTTTCTTCAATCAAACATTCCTAACAGTTCTGCAATTTACACTGAGGAAACAACTTTATTTACTACTACTGCAAAGGGGAAATTTCGTAATTGTGATATTTTTAACAGTAACATAATGAATACAAAATACAGCTCCGCATGTTTAAGGGGTTAACTTAAATATGTTAATAAACATTTTCCAATTTGGATCAGTTACTTTCACTTACCTTATATGGTACAACATTGCGATCGTAAAAATTTTCGAATCTGAGTTTGCAACGGAAATAAATGTTTTGAGGTATACTGAGTCCAAATAACCAAGTCCCGCAAAATGGTTTGTGTGTGTGCGCGGGTGTTTGTATGCATGTGACAGGTCTAGCTCAAAAACGAAAAGTCGTATGAAAGTGAAATTGCATATTTAAGGTATGTATATAATAGAGATGTTACAGCAACTTTTTCATCAAAATTGGCTAACCGGGAGTGGTACTTTATATAATCGATGACACACATTTTTACTATTTTCTCGAAAACGGCTCCAGCGATTTTGATTAAATTCATTATATCAGTGTGAAATTAAGCAGTTTCCAATATAATGTAGGTTTTATTCTCATTGATGTTCTCTAGCAGGGCTTAAATGGCTAATTTTCAATATTAGGTACCTATTTGAATTTGATAATTAAATAAAGAAAAAACAAAAGATCGTGACAGATAATAGTTGTAATGAAGGAACCAAAAGAATACAAGCGCGGCAGAACTTACACGAGTGACACGATATAAAATCACATAATTCCTTTACACAACTTGAAGTGAATGTCAAATTCTTGCCTAATAAACCTCAACTTAATTAATATGGACTTACAGCTTATTTCAAAGAGGAAGTTTATCAAAAACGGGGGGGGGGTCTGTAGTGAACACGGAAGATGATTTAAAAAATCGGGATTATTTATTGTGCAGCTTTATAATTATAATTTATTATGAAGCTCAGAAGTCCGCTTTGAATGTTTTTTAACACAAACACTATCATTATTTCAAGTAAATTTTGTCTGCTTTACAATAAAGCAATGGTCAATTACTTATATCAAATATTTTTTTAGTTATTACTTGCTGGCTAAAAGTGCTCTCGATCAATCTCCCGCTGGCTTTAGTACAGGTGATGCGGTTGAGAGAGTAGCGCAGGGTTCTCCTGGAGTCCAGCTTTTCCCTCCATAGTTGGAGTTTTGTTTTGTTTTAATTTTCTTATTTTTAAGTTATTTTATTTTATTTATTGTATATAATTTTGTATTATTATTTATTGTTATTTTGTTTCTATTTATTTTATATTTTTCTGTACATATAGTGTGAACGTTATCCTACCTCACTATAACTAATACCCAAGTGACAGATTGTTGTAATATTCAATAAATAAATAAATAAAAAAAAATATTGCTTTCTATTCAACAAAGAGCATGACTAGGTTAAAAAAAAACAACAACTTGGATTTGATACTTTTCTGTTGGAAATCGGCCCATTGTTTATATGAACTTTTTTTGTAGCTCAGTGAGGTCTACTATCACTCGTATAAAAATTTCCCCCTACTTACGGGACACATCTCAGTCGAAGATGAAAAACAGACTTAAGCACTTCTATAACCGAAGGTTTGGTATTCTGTGTTACTGAAGGTCCTTGGTAAGGATAATTAGGTAACACGGTGGGGTCAAGGGCGATTAACAAACTCGATTATGGTGTTCAATGGGACCTGAAAGTATACAATCTACCTTTCCTGCAAATCGTTAATTTGATTTTATCTACAAAATAAAATAGTATAAGGGCATTCTTATAACTTAGAAGAAATAACCAAGAATAATGAATGAAAAAACGGTGTTGCTTTAGACTGTAGCTCCTAAACGAATGTACCGATTTCCATGAAACTTGACTAAAGTCTTCTTCTTGATGCCCTTTAAATTTATCTATATAACATATTTCAACGAAAGAAGCTGAAAAAAATTACGAGGGATGGTAAAATTACATTCCAAATAACTCAAAAAGTATACACTTTTTCGTTGATATTGAATTTAAAAGTTTACGAAATTTACTAAAAAAAAAAATCATTAAAATCGGACAATTAGGAACAAAGATATGGTCTTTGCATATTTTTTATATATTATACTGCAAAGGTTACATCCTTTGTTTTTGATTTTTGAATGTGTTAATAAAAAGTAATGCTATTTTTTTAGCAAATTACTAATGATGAAAAAAAAATGTTTTGGGCATTAATTGGTAGCATCTTTTATTTCTTATTGTTTGTCGCTAGGAAGGTAATGTTACTTTAGATGTATAATTGTATAGCGTTTTTTCCTTAGTTTTCTGGAAGATGTACTTATTTTTCGCACCTTGAAGAGAAGATAACTTTAAATAATTCTGTAATAATTTAGTTTTATCTATAAACTGATTTGTCTTCAAAAGTATATGCTCAATCATTTGATTTGACGAAGAATTAAAGAGAATATTGTTGGTACAAGAAAACAAGTTTGAAAAATAATATATAAAAAATTTATGTTTCATCTATTTCAGAATGCGGGTATATTTGCCAAAATAGATTATAAATAAATTTTAATAAAAGTTTGAATTTTATTTTTTATTGAAAGTACTAAAAAATGACTATTGATGTAATATTTTGTTTTTGTAGTTTTCATTGCCAAATCGAATAGCTATTACCACTTCAGTAAACTGCTTTGTTTATATGCTTTAAAATATATAAATCGCTAATGAGAACTACAAAAACCCATATTTAAAAAAATCTAATAAGAGCGTAAACCATGGGGCGCCAAATTTCAGATTTAAATCGCTTATAATTCTAAAGAAGTAGGTGGATATTCGATTAGCAAGACTCGAGTAGCAATCGATGGTGTATGAAATATTCAACCGTAAGGCCGTAGCCAGCGGCAACAGAATAGTCAACAAACGGACTCTTCTACGACAAGCTGTTACCTAGGCATGGATTGCTGGAGGGAAATGAAGGTGGGTCAGGCGATCTTGGGGAATACAATGACCTCAGAAAATTTATGGACAATCCTGAAATTTATTTCAAAGAAACAATTTACTAATGCATATAATTTTGTTAATATATGCATAAGAACAACAGAATCATACCAGATGTACTTTTTCCTATAGTAAAATACACTTTTGAAATGAAATGAAATGAAAATAATTTTATTATTCTGGGACTAGTGTCCCTTTAGAACAAGTCACAAATACAGAATATATATATTAATATTTTGGGGTGTCCATGAAATACTATTTAATATTTACAGGTTGATTCGGAGTACAATGAAGTTATAAATGATGAAATGATATAAACACGTGTAAATATAAAATATACAAAGAAAGTAATCAAGAGAACGAAATATCGATGAATTACAAAATAATCAGAGTATCTGGGTGTACTTTGAGGTTTTCACAGCTTAGGTTTTTAAGTGCATTTCGTGATCAATCGCATTGGGAATGGAGTATGTGTTCGAACAGGAGAGATTTGAATGAGGATATCGATTTTGCGTGTCGAATATCTGAAGGTATAGAGTTTCAGAGGGAGACAACTTGTATTAAAAATGATTTATCAAATGCAGCAGTTCGGTGAGGGGGAGGATAGAGGTCGGACGCACGGGATCTTGTGGGACGGGATTAGAAGGAGCGTTTGAAATGTAGGATCTGTAGAATATAGGCGGGTCGCAGTGTTGTAATGGCTCGGTATAGGAAGGTAGCAAGGAAATATTGACGGCGGTAGGACGGATAAAGCCACTTCAACTCGGTGTAGAACTGGGTAATGTGCGTATCCCTTGAGATCCCGAAGATAAAGAGGATTGAGCAAGTCATTAACTTTTGTCACTGATATATATTAAAAATAAATAGTGTTGCCCAAATGCAAGACCAAGACTCGTCTTTGTCTAGCGCAATAGTCTCGCAAGTCTTGCGGCTAGCTATTGGCTTATTGCTATGTATCAAACATGTTACTTTAGATGTTAGAAAAACGCTAAAGAATAGGCATATTTAGATAGATGTTTTATTGACATTAACATAGTAAAGTCCAACCAAATTAACAAAATAAGCTTGACAATACATTAAAGACAATATCAAGAAAAATTTTAATAACATTTTAAAAAATATTACCATTTAGAAAAAGTGTTATGAGATAGTAATACAGAGATATTACTGTAATTTTTCAGAATGGAGAAACCTA